GCTCTTACTGTGTTGGCTTGTGTGAGCAAGGACGTGCAGTGTCTCTTCCACACCGAATTCGGGTCCTTTGCTGTAACAGTCTGATGGGTCTATGTACACCTTATTCCATCTTCATAACTTCGTGTAGTATGCTGTGTGAGGGCCTTTCCAGAGGTGATATTCCAATGGCTCTGGCCTCATGAATAGATTAATCCCTTGATGAATCCACAGCATGATACATATTTTTGAGTGTTGCTGCAAAGTAGGAGTTGGGACAGAGTTGTAGGAAATGGGTCACAAGTGTGGTCATGGGCGTCAAAGAATCTATGCACTTCTTTATAATGGTTGGAAACTTTTCAAACCCCATTTAAAATCCCCGTTTCCCCTAACTTTGTAAAATCTCCAATAGAACAGTTAGTTGAATAAATCAGAATTCCTGCATCTTTAACTGTTCTGTAGCAATGATTTACATTATTTTCCATGGAGCTTGTAAGTTTTAAGTTGATATTATTGCAGGTGTCTTGTTAAGACTGATACATGTAGGGAAGAAACTTAAAAGGTTTTTATAAATACTATAGCAAAACTTGTGTGTTGCTGTGATAGCCTAACAATTTTGAAATTATTTGGAGGCATTTTTCAGCATTTGCTTTAGTAAGAGGTTTGCATTGTACTCAGGGTGCTGCATTTACCAGGCTCAAAAGACAAATAATAGAGTGACTCATTCATGGGAGACTGAGGGTCATTCTGTTGAATTTTGCTTTAGTTTATGTGTCACTGCACTGTAAACATGGCTCTAGGTCACTAATGTGGCATCTTTGACATTGTATGCTTTTATAGAGGAACTTGCAGCAGGACAGTGTGAAGAATTCTATGAGTCAACTCCCCAGTCAAACTCTTGACATTGGAAAGCAGAAGAGAAGCTACAAGAAGTCAGTCACATTTATAAATCACTGGAGATGGTCCCAGCAGTGTAGAGCAAGAAAACACAAGGAACCAGTAAAGGTAAATAAGAAACTGAAGAAGGTAATATATGTACATGTTATCATCTTTATTCCCTTACCTTATTTAGAAACAGTAGTATGAGATTGTGTGTGTGTGTGTGTGTGTGTGTGTGTGTGTGTGTGTGTGTGTAATACTCTTTTGTCAATCATGATTTAATGTAATATACCATAGCAATCAACAATTGAAAGTCCACAAGATGGATCAGTAAAGGGGCTCAATTCTGATAACTGAGTTGGATCTCCAGGTCCCACAAGGTGAAAGGAAAGAACCAAATCCCATAAGACGTTCATGTGTGCTCTGTGGCACAAGCATGCACATACACTAAATTAAATACATTTTAAAAAATTCACATGACCATTTCAGTAAATGCAGAAGACACACTGAAGAACCTCCACCTTTTGAGATAAAAAGATACAACAGTGTAGGAACATAAAGTTACATTTTACTTGTAATTAATGTCCTACTTAATAAAACCTGTATTCTTATTTCCTGAGAAGAGAAATAAGACACATCCATTCTCACTACTTCTATTATCATGATCCTAGAGGTGCTCTCCAGGATCCGTGGCAGCAGTAAAGGCTAAGAGTCATGTAAATTGGAAGAACAGGGTCATAATCATATGTATTTGAAGATGAGGTAACACTGTGCTCATTAAAAATATGACACATGAGCAAAGTAACAAAGGTCAAAAATAAAATCAATTGTGTTTCTCTACACAAAGAGCAGTCAAAAAATGAAGTTAAGCAATTCCAGTGAAGGATACCAAAAGCAAAATATTCAAAATAACTTTTTTTAAAGATGTGAAATTTTGATCACTGAAAACTACACTATATGGTTTGTTTTGGGGTCATCAGCTACCACCTTTTCACCTCTTCCCTTGCCTCTGGGGCCTGTACTTTTATAGAAGGAGGTTGGGATTGCCGTTTTTTGTCCTTTAAGTCATTACAGATTTGCTCAGGATGAGGGTTACACACTCAAATGTGTGTTACAGTCTCCATTGTTATGGATAGAAGAATCAAGTCCACAGAGAGGGGCGTCCTAAAAATGGAACACCAGGTACTGATTCCTCTCACTCTACCCTCCCCATTGTCTTTATTTAAAGGACTCCATCTGCATATATACCAATGAGTATTTAAAGGGAGATCTGGGACCCAGGGCTCTACAGAAGGAGGCTAGATGTTCACAGTGTGAGGGAAGATGGCTCTGAGGAACTATATCTGAGGAGGTTGTCCTCTGGCCTACATGGACAAATACTATTTGGTTAGCCAACCTAAGTGGGGGATTATAAACTTGATTATTGGATTGACTACAAGGAGGCATTTGATTTTCATCAGAGTTAGGAATGGCAAATGCTGTGGGTGAGTATGTTACGATGAGACTGACCACTAAAACCAAATGTCACTCTATCTGGAGATAGGACAATTTGGAGTTAACTGTGCTTAAAAAAGTGCTAGTCCCTAATCTTAGGACTAAGGGCCTTTAAAAGAAGAGGGAGAGAGTTCTTTCTCATTGCACTATGTGAGGACACCTCAAGGAAGTTGTCTTTTTAAGCCTGGAAAGGCATCAGCAGAAACTCAGTTAGCTGGTATCTTGGTCTTGCAGAACTGAGAAAATGTGGCATGTTATGGAAGCCCAAAGCAGCTAATGCAGGGAGGGATTTGAACTGGGGAAAGCAAATGTAACTAGTAACACTATATTTTTGTTCTTCAGTTCCCCATAAAAACTGAAATCCCTTTGCCCACATCTATGAATTTGATGCTTCCATTGGACTGCTGTTAAACTACTGATCTATAGAAAGTGTCTTTATGACATAAAATTCTATTCCATCAATATGGTACTTTTTCTATTTGCTTTTTAAAATCCTTCACCCTTTTCTTCCTTAATATACTTGTATACTTTTGTAGTTAGTATGGCCAATGCCTTATTTCAGTGCTTTTGTTATATGAATAGTCTCACATGTAGAGTCTAATTTTTTTATAGTTTTAATTTATTGAGTTTTCTATATGAACTACTTTACAGGAGCTTATCAAGTGCTTTACTTCTAAGTGATAAGGAAATCATAATATGCATTTTCCCCTTTTTATTTAACTTGGTTGGCATATCTTAAACAGCGCTGGTGCTCATGAGGTGGGTCTTTATGTTGATGTTTGAGTTTTATAGGCATGGTCTTGCTGTGTAGACCAGGCTGACCTCAAACTTGGGTCCTCCTGCCTCTGTCTGCCAAACCTTGGGATTACAGACCTACCAAACCTTGCCTGGAAAGAGGGCATCCTTATCACTCCCTATTTTCCATCAGCTGTCATGCTGCCTTTTAGGTGAAGAGTCATAACAGTTTGAGGGGAAAACTGTTCTCAATTTTTTTTTTTTTTTTAAATGGCTAAGTGGTTAAGAGCACAGATTGCTCTTCCAGAGGACCTGGGTTCAATATCCAGCATCCATGTGGCAGCTCTCAAACACCGGTAACTCCAGTTCTAGGATATGCAAAGCCTTCTGGCCTCTGTGGGCACTGCATGTACACGGGACACATACATATATGCAGGCAAAACACCCTCCTGTGTAAAATAAAATAAATAATAAAAAATGCCTTTTCCATGTCTTTGAGGATGATCACAAGATCACACACCCCCACCAGTGATTACAGTGAAATACATTAATGTATTTTTAAATATTGAGCCTTTCCTTATTCCTAGAAAAAGTTCCTGTGGTCTGATTCTCTTTCTTAGTCACTGAATGTTAATGTTTCTGCAGATTCTGTACTTCCATCTATTTTTATAATCTCTTGGGTTCTCCTAAAGCCATTTCACTTACTCTGTTGCCTTCATATGACTGAGGTTCTGTTGTTAGTGAAATCTCATTTTTCCTGCTAAAACTGTCTTTTGATTGCTAGGTCCTGTCTTAGTTAGGGTTTCTATTGCCGTGAAGAGACAGCATGACCATGGCAACTCTTATAAAGGAAAACATTTAATTGAGGCTAGCTTGCAGTTTCAGAGATTTAGCCCATTATTATGACAGGACATGGCAGTGTGCAGGCAGACATGGTATTGGAGAAGGAGCTGAGGGTATTCCATCCTGATCTTCAGGCACTGGGAAGTGAGCTGTCTATCACACTAAGCATAACTTGAGCATAGGAGACCTCAAGCCCACCATCCACAGTGACACACTTCCTTCAACAAAGCCAAACCTACTCCAACAAAGACACACCTCTTAATATTGCCACTCCTTATGGGGTCCATTTTCTTTCAAACCACCACAAGTCCTATATCCAATAGCTAGTTGAATGACCCACATGTCTAATCACAGAAACTGTTTAGTAGGGTATGGTGGTACACATGCCTGTAATCCCAGTACCCTGGAGGCAGGAGGATCAAGAGTCCAAGGCCAGCCTCAGCTACACAGAATTTGAATCTAGCCTGACCTACATGAGACATTGTCTCAAAAACAAACAAGCCCACAGTACATTTAAATCAATCTATTATCTGTCATATTCATTGTACTTCCCCTTAATTTTTACAAAATTACTTTCTACTTAGTTGACTTAGTTGATCATGTATACAGACTGGAAATATAGATCTCTTTTTACTCTAGGCATTACAGATGATTACCAAATTTTAATCCTGGAGTTTTTTTTATTTTTCTAGGATGAGTTTTCTGTTCTCTCTTTGTATATGTGCTTGTTTATTTGTTTGCTTGCTTGACATGGGTTCTCACTGTGTAGACCTGGCTGGCTTCGTACTTAACAGAGATCTGCCTACCTCTGTCTCAAGTGCTAGGATTAAAGGTGTGCACTTAGCTGTATTCTTTTATTTGCTTTTTTTTTTTTTGAGACAGGATCTCATGTAGCCCCACCTGGCCTTCAAATAGCTGCTTAACTAAGGGTGATTTCTATACTATATTCTTAATGCTATATATCCCAGTGCAGGTAATTATGTGTCACTTGGTTTCATCCTTTATTATTCTTCATTTGCATCCTTCCCTGTCCTCCTTTCAGAATGCAGGTCTTAGATTTAAGAGGCAAATATAAAGATTGCTATAATTGTACTGAAGTTGTTGGAATTAGAATTTTTAAATGCAGAATCAACGGATTGTCAGTCATCTGAACATGTAACTTTCTAACTCACAACTGCCCAGGAACAGTCACCTACGTGTGTTTCTACATATAGGTCTAGTAACCTGTTTGTTTTTTGCTTTTACAACTTGACTTCTGTGGCTTGTTACTCATGAGAACTCATTGTGTCAAAGAGCTAAGCCTGCTGTCAGTGAAGCATAACCTTAAGGATGCTTAGCAATCCTCATCACTCTGTTCTGCACTGACATGGGTCTTTTTTTTTTTTAAGACTTATTTATTTATTTATTATGTATATAGTGTTCTGCTAGCATATATGCCTACATGCCAGAAGAGGCACCAGATCTCATTATAGATGGTTGTGAGCCATAATGTGGTTGCTGGGAATTGAACTTAGGACCTCTGAAAGGGCAGCCAGTGCTCTTAACCTCTGAGCCATCTCTCCAGCCCAACCTGTGTATATGTTTAACATTATTTCAAGGTCGTAGGTATACCTAAGTCTTCATTCAAACTAGATTATCAGGCAACTTGTAGACAAGATTTCTTTTCTTTTCTTTTCTTTTTGAGAGACTGTTTCTTTCTGTCTCTCTGTGTGCCTGTGCATGTGCACGCGTGTGTGTGTGTGTGTGTGTGTGTGTGTGTGTGTGTATGTGTTGTTGTTTGTCTGTATGTTGTTGCAAATTGATTCCAGGGCCTTGTGAATACTTTACTGTACATAATTCATCCATTTTTGTTAGGAATGGAAATTTTGTAGTAGTAGTCTTTTGAGTTACTAAATTAGTACAGAAGCAAGATAGTAGTGATTTTTTTTCCTCCCACAATAGAGAATATAAACCAATATGCAGCCTATGTGAGACACACTCACAAAGAGTGCATTCCCACCTTCCTATCTTCTGGTATGCCCAAAAGGTTGAGTTAGGAAAAATGTTTCATTACAGGGGTTGGTGACATTTGAGGATGTCTGTGTGGACTTCACCTGGGAGGAGTGGCAGGACCTGGATGATGCTCAGAGGAAGCTCTATAGGGACGTGATGCTGGAGACCTACAGGAGCTTGGAGTCCTTGGGTGAGTAAAAGTCACCAGTGGTATTAGAAGCACTTCCTTTGTTAGTAAGAATAGTAACCATGTCTGAAATTTGTTTACACACACACACACACACACACACACACACACACACACACTATAATAATATATATGTATAAATCTACCTCCAGAAGTTGGCAGGTCTTTGCAGACATATTATGTCTTTATATTGGGAGCATTTAAATCCTCTATTAGCTATTGTGGAACATTTAATTATTTATAACTATGGTCATGCTTCTGTGCTATAGAAAACTGAAAGTTATACTGGCTATCCAGGCTGTACCCCTGCTTGCATTAACCATCTTTGCTCTATCCCTACTTCACATACTCTTCTAGGCTATGATGACCACTCTGTCTCGATTTCTTTGAGTGCAACTTTATCTTCTACTTATAAACAAGGATGTGTAATGTTTATCTTTGTGCCTGACTTATATAACTTAGCAAAAACATCAGTTCCAACTTGAGATAATTTTTGGGTTTCTTAGTGAATAATATTCCCTTATGCATAAATACATTTTTTTAAAAAAAGACAAGATCGGGAGAGGGAGAGGGAAAGTACATGTGAAAATATTAATAATTTAATAAAAAAAAAAAAGACAAGATCTCATGTAGTCCAAGATTACCTTGAAATTATTATCTTTCAAAATACTGATTTTCTTTTCTTTTAATATGTTCAGTAGTAGCTGCATCATAAAGGCAGTTCTATTTCTAGTTTTTTTGTTTTGTTTTTAGGAACTTTCATACTGTTTTTCATTGTAACAATTTTATATTCCCAGAAACAGTGTAGGATAATGTATATTTCTATGTGTCCTCATCAGTATTTGTTTGTGGTTTTGATAATATTCTAGCTGCAAGTGTTGTGATATTTCACTGTGGTTTTGATTAACATTTTTTTATGTATACAGATATTGACCATTTATTGATGAGTTTGTGAATTATTTGTATGCTTTTGGGAAAATACATAATATAGTCTCTTGCTCAATTTTTTTTTTTTTTTTTGAGACAGGGCTTCTCTGTGACTTTGGAGGCTGTCCTGGAACTAGCTTTTGTAGACCGGGCTGGTCTCTCTTGCTCAATTTTTAATTAAATTATTTTTTCTGCTTTTAAATTCCTGGTATATTCCAGAAATTAGCATCTTGTATAGTTGCAGATATTTTCTCATTCATGATGTCTGTTAACACTTCACTCTGTCATTTGTTTTTCTTTATAGAGGTTTTTCTGTTTATGAAATCCCACTTGTCAGTTTTTACTGTTGATGACTGTGGTTTGTGGTCATGTCACAATCTTTGTGCTGGGTGTGATTGTGTATATCTGTGTTTCCAGTACCCTTGAAATTGAGGAGGAAGCATTACTTGGGTCTAGGACCTCCAGACCAACCTGGCAATATAGGGAGGCCTAATCTCAAAAAGGAAGTGAAATCTTTGAATCAATATTCAGCTTCTCTACATTTTATTTCAGTGCTGTCAGATCTTATATTTATGTCTTTGATATATTTTAATTTGATTTCTGAATATGGTAAGATATAGGGGTCTAATATCTTTCTGTATACAAGAGTATATAGTTTTTGCACCAATTATTGAAGAGAACCTCCTTTCATGGGCTCTCAAAGTCCCTTCCTGCACCAGGGAAAAATACCAATCCACCACCAGAGTGGTGCTGAGGACTCCCTATTGACATCCATGTCAGGGGTCTGGATCAGTCCTGCACTGGCCTCCACGAGCGCATCCGGGGTCGATGTGCTCTCCCTGGAGAACCTCCTTTCTAAATGTTCCTGCTGCTCTGGTGAAAACCTGTTGGCTGTAATTTTTGGACTTTTTTCTTGGTTGTTCTGCTGGCCTGTTTGTCTGCTTCTCTGCCAGTACTGTGTTCTTGGTTACTATTGCTCTACCATATGTAATGACAAGATTCATTCTTTTTTTTTTCAAGAATGATTTGACTGGGGTCTTTTGTGTTTTTCTTTGAAGATTAGGGCTGACTTTTTTCTAGTTCTGTGAAAGTGTTGTTCATGCTTAGCTAAGGATTACATTGAATTGGTAAGATAATTTGAGTAGTGTAGATATTTTACCAATATTGAATTCATCCATACAAAGGTCTTCATTTTAGGGTTGTTATTTTCTTTCATCAGTGTTTCACACACACACACACACACACACACACACACACACACACACACACACAAAGTCTGTTTGAACTCTGGTTGCTTTGGGTTCCCATTTGCATGTTAGGTCTATCCCTTCATGTTCAGTCCACATGCATCTGTCCCAGTGAATGATTTTCTCTTCTGCAACATGTCATTGAGTCTGTTATTTTCATCTGTTCAAACAGTTTATATTCTTATTGGTAAATATGTTGTTACACTCAAGGATATTTTGATAATGAAGACATTTTTCTGACATTTTTAGTGGCTAATTTCTGTATTCTTTCTTCCTCTGTGTTAATTTTTTATGTTTAATGGTTTTCCATATTGATACACTTCCATCTCTTTCTTTTGTGTATCTGCTGTATTATTTAATTTTATATGGTCATGTGGTTTAATAATGGTAATTATTATTCTTTCTCTTATGTATAACATCTCTTAAACATTTCCTGTAGGGCTGTGTATTAGGCAATGTTCTCTAGAGCAGGGGTTCTTAACTTGTGAGTCCTGACCCCTTTGGGGTTTAATGACCCTTTAACAAGGGTCACCTCAGACCATGGGAAAACACAGATATTTATATTATGATTCATATCAGTAGCAAAATTTACACTTATAAGTGCTGGGCATGGTAGTCTACGCCTTTAATCCTAACACTTAGGAGGCAAAGGCAGGGGCATCTGTGTAACTTTGAGGCCAATCTGGTCTACAGATCAATTTACAGGACAGCCAGGGCTACACAGAGAAACCCTGTCTTGACCCCACCAACCTCCCTCCAAAAAATCCAAAACAAAATTACATTAATGTAGTAGCAACAAAAATAATTTTATGGTTAGGATTACCACAACATGAAGTACTGTATTAAAGGTCTCAGCATTAGGAAGGTTGAGAACCACCACTGCTCTAAAGGAACAAAACGTGTGTGTGTGTGTGTGTGTGTGTGTGTGTGTGTGTGTGTGTGTGTGTATACTAAAGAAGATTTATTAGAATATCTTATAGTGGCTATCTATATACTGGAGAATATGTGTGTGTGTATACTAAAGAAGATTTATTAGAATATCTTATAGTGGCTAAAACTATACTGGAGAGCCTGAGAACCCACTAGCTTCTCAGTCCACAAGGCCAAATACCTCAGCAGTCTCAGTCCAGAGTTTAAAGCCTGAAAGAATCCTGAGTGTTCAATCCATTTTGGAAATTGGAGAAGCTAGAGTCTGATATCAGGAAAGAATGACACTGGCAACAGAGATGTACACAGTCACCAGCAAGAAGTACAGGCAGGCAAGCAAACAGCACTGCTTTCCCCTCAGACCTCTGTATCTGGTGCTGTTCACTGGGGGAGGGTTTCTCCCCTCAGTTAATCCATCCTGGGAGGACCCACATAGACCTGTGCAGCATAGACCCGTGCAGACTCTTGTCCCTTGATGATCCAAACCCTATTAAGTTGACAAGATTAATCACTCAGTCTGATCTAGTGGTAATGAAGTCTTTCAGTTTTTGTTGTTTTAGAAAGTCCAGTTCTCTGTTTTTGAAAGATAACCTCTCTAGGTACAGTGTTCTAGGTTGGCAATGGCTTTTGGTTTTGTTTGTTTGAACTTTGAGTCAATCTTTGTCCTCGCCTGTGTGGGATTCCTCTGGGACTCTGGTGTTCCTCTAATGTATCTTTTGCTTTTGACAGTCTACTTATATACAGTATGTCTCAGGACCTTTTTTGGGTAAATCTGCTGGATTTATTGTTATAGATTGTTATATATTCCTCTGGAATTTGGATTATTTCATTGAAAAATTTATTTATTTGTATTTAAAAAAACATTTTGGTGTGTGTATGTGTGTGGTGTATAAGCTTGTGTGCATGAATCTGTACAAGTTCATACACACATGCATAAACATTTGGAGACCAAAGGATAGGATGATATTAGGTGTATTTTTCTCTTTCTCTCCTTTTTCTTTTGTATCTTAGTTCCAAAAACAAGTTGAGGATAAAAGGGTTTATTTGGCTTAAAGGTTATAGGTCATTACTAGGGGAAGCCAACCCAGGAACTGAAGCAGAGGTCATAGAGGAATGCTGCTACTGACTTGCTCTTTCATGGCATGTTGATCTACTTTCTTTCTTTCTTTTTTTTTTCTATTTTTTTATTTGAATTAGAAACAAGATTGTTTTACATGTCAATCCCAGTTCCTTCTCTTTCCCCTTCTCCCTGCCCCCCCCCAACTAAAACCCTACCTATCCCATACCCTTTCTGCTCCCCAGGGAGGGTGAGGCCTTTCATAGGGGGTCTTCAGAGTCTGTCATATCCTTTGGGATAGGGCCTAGGCCCACCTCTGTGTGTCTAGACTCAGGGACTATTCTTCTATGTGGAATGGGCTCCCAGAGTCCATTCCTACGGTATGGATAAGTACTGATCCACTACAAGAGGTCCCATAGATTTCTAAGGTCTCCTCACATTCAGGGGGTCTGGATCAGTCCCATGCTGGTTTCCCAGCTATTAGTCTGGGGACCAGAGTTCCCCCTTGTTCAGGTCAGCTGTTTTTGTGGGTTTCACCAGCCTGGTCTAGACCACTTTGCTCTTCACTCCTCTGCAGCTGGATTTCAGTTCAGTTCAGTGTTTAGCTGTGGGTATATGCTTCTACCAGCTGCTGGATGAAGGCTATAGGATGGCATATAAGTCAGTCATCAATCTCATTATCAGGGGAGGGCATTTAAGGTAACCTCTTCTCTGTTGCTTAGATTGTTAGCTGGTGTCATCTTTGTAGATCTCTAGACATTTCCCTAGTGCCTGATTTCTCTTTAAACCTATAATGTCTCCCTCTTATCTTGATCTCCTCTAATCTTCCCCCCACTCAACCTTCCTACTCCCTCAGGTCCTCCTCTCCCCTCCTCTTCTTCCCTTCTCATTCTCCTAGTTCCCCTCCTCCCCCCATGTTCCCAATTTGCTCAGGAGATCTTGTCCCTTGCCCCTTCTCCAGGGGACCATGTATGTCTCTCTTAGAGTCCTCCTTGTTTCCTAGCTTCTCTGGTGGTATGGATTGTAGGCTAGTAATCCTTGCTCTATGTCTAAAATCCATATATAGTGAGTATATACCATGTTTGTTTTTTTGTGACTGGGTTACCTCGATCAGAATGGTTTCTTCTATCTAGTTCCATCCATTTTCGGCCTGCTTTCTTATACACCCAGGACTGCCTGCCCAAGTTTGGCACAGCCCACTATGGGCTGGGCCTTCCCACATCAATCACTAATGAAAAAAATTCCCCACAAGCTTGCCTACAGGCAAATTTAAGGGAGGCATTCTTTCCAATTTTGGTTCCTATTCCCATATAACTACCCTTTGTCAAGTTCAAAAACAAAAACCCAACCAGAACACCTTGAGAGAGGATCTCTCACTGAACCTGAAATTTCCTTTTAGGCTAGGATGGCTGGCTAGCAAACTCTTGGGATCCCATTGTCTCTGCCTGCCATTGTTTGTTTGTTTTGAAACAGGGTTTTACTATGTAGCTCATGCTCATGGTAATTTGCTATATAGTCTAGGCTGGCCTCCAACTTCTGATTTTCTTGTTTGAGCCCATGGAATGCTGAGATTTACAGGTGTAGTCTACTATGCCTGGCTGAATGTTTTGGTTTGGTTTTGGGGTTTTTGTTTGTTTGTTTTTGTTTTGTTCTGCAGGTGGGGGGTTCGAGGCAGGGTTTCTCTGTGGCTTTGGAGGCTGTCTTGGAACTAGCTCTTGTAGACCAGGCTGGTCTTGAATTGACAGAGATCTGTCTGTCTCTACCTCCTGAGTGCTGGAATTAAAGCTGTACACCACCACCACCTGGCAGGTTTTGGTTTTTATATTCATTCTCTATTCTTTTTGGAATACCAGTCATGCAAATGCTTAAACCAAAAGTCTTAAAGGTGTTCTTCAGTAAGAAAAAAATTGGGGGGTTAGAGAGATGGCTTAACAGTAAAGATCAATGGCTCCTCTTCTAGAGGACCTGGGTACTCAACAACCATCTGTAACATTAGTCCCTGGAGCTCCAGTTCTCTCTCTTTGAATATACAGGCACTGCATGCACACGGTTCCTAGACATACATACAGGCAAAACATTCATACAGATAAAATGAAAATAAATCAACTTCTTTTTTGACACGTGCCTTTAATCCTAGTACTTATAAGGCAGAGGTAGGTGGATCTCTCAGTATGAGGCTAGCCTGATTTACATAGTGGATTCCAAGATAGCCAGAGCTACATAGTGAGATCCTTTCCATGTTATTCTAAACTTTAATCAGTTCTGCTGTGGAAGCATCTACCTTTTTGTTTTCCTTAAGTTTTTGTTGAGTTTTAGCTCCAAAATTCAGATTTAAAAAATTTAAAGCACACATATATGCCATGCCATGCATCTAGAGCTCAGAGAACAACTTGACAGACTTGGTGCTTTTCTTCTTCCATATGGTCCTAAGGATGGAACTCAGACAGTGAAGCTTGGTATCAGGTACCTTTAACTGCTGAGCCATTCAACAGCTGGAAAAAGTCAGTTTTAGTCACCCTTGTTTCCTATAGGAGTCTGCTTGATTCCTTCCTGCCTGCCTTCCTTCCTTCCTTCCTTCCTTCCTTCCTTCCTTCCTTCCTTAAAAATTGAATTGTATTGTGTGTCTTTAAGTATTCTTAAAATCATTCTTAGATTTCCTTTTGCTATTTACTTAGTGCTGGGGATTAATTTAGGGATTCATATATAGTAGGCAAGTGTTTTTTCACTGAGTGTATCCCCAACACCCTTTTTATTTTTTATTCTGAGATAGGGTCTTATTGAGTTGCTGAGAAAGACTTTGAACTAGTATTGCTTCTGTCTTAGCCTCTCAGGTACCTGAGATCACAGGCCTGCACTAGTCCCAGCTTTGCTTTCTCCCTGAAGCCATTTAACTGTACTTAATAAAGGCAAGATTTACACACCATGAAGAATATGAGTGTACACTCACAAAATGTTCAGATTTGTCCAGTAATCACTCATTTCCCAAAGGTGTTATCTCTTTGCAGTGTACTTGACTTAGCACTTGACACAGTCTTACATTATTTCCCATTAACAGGTCACTGCATTACCAAACCAGAGGTGATCTTTAAGTTGGAGCAAGGAACTGGGCCATGGAGAGTAGAAGATGTTCCAGAGCAGCCTGGGCCAGGTCTGTGATTTCACCCTGGACAAAGAGACCAGAATGACCAGAATCCAATAGACATTGGCGATGCTGAGCTGTTTTCACTAATAGCACTGATAGTCTTGGGGTCAGCTGGTGTCATCCATCAGGTTTCTTGTGTTCATTTTCTAAGGAGAACTCTCACAAGAACCTTCACTCTCTTTTTAAGTTTGCTACATATTTTCTTGAGTTCACAAGTTTCTGTAACTATATGGAGCTTCATAGACAATTTTGATTACTTTCTCTAAATTCTCAATTATCTGTGTTTTCTACCCCAGGCATTTTTGGCTATGTTAGTTCTTTTATCACATGATATTTGGTTATCTTCTAAACATTGCACTTTTAAAATCAGACATGTAAGTAATAATAAAACATGCATCTGCAGATAGAGAGCTTACATCTTATTGAAAAACTTAAACACACAAAGTATTTGGTTGTAAGATAAGAGTCACAAAGAATGTTTTATCACAAAAAATAAATAAAAGTATTCACTGTTTTATTTCAGGAAAAGTCTAAAGGGAAGGGAATTTTAAGGAGATTATTATTCATTTAGTTTAATATTGACATTACTTTTTTTTCAAATTTGGTATACCTAATACATAGGTGGGCATAAAAATATGACTTGAGAATGGTTATGATCTTAGTCCTTTGGAAATGAGTAGTTTAATATAAATATTTATACCATAGTTATTCAGGCATTAACTAAGGTGATTGATAAGAAAAACAGAAAAAGAAACTTAGAATCAAGTCTTCTGTTCACAGAATCAGAATCCATTAAAGTGAAGGATGCTCAGCACAACAAAATTGCCCAGCATGGAAAGGGGAAACCTAGTTTTGACAGGACAAGTAGGTCTTTGGTATGAAGAGACTTTAAGTGACACAAGATTTCATGTTGAAAGGCTGCGGTTTTTGTGTGGGTGTGGAAGTCTCTCATCAGCAGTTTCTGTGAAAATAATTTGGAGACAATAGACTTACGTAGATGGCTCCATTTTTTAATGTAGAAGACAGCTTAATACAAAATAGAAGCTTCCAGAAGCAAAGAGTTACAAGCAGGGATTCATGTACCTTAATCTAAGTGAAGAATGACAGTTCTGTGAATCTCAGAAATATCCAGAAAAACATTTTAAAGGATGATAGGCATGACTCTGTTTCCTGAATGAAATCCATTAGTCCAACATGGAGGTAGGCTGGAGCTTCCGGACCCTGTTAGGGTTCAAGGAAGCATAAAATAGATTTTGATTAGGGATTTGGAGAGTTAGTTTTCATGTGGGAACGAGGTCATTTGTGTTTATAAACCAACCCTCTAAGTTTCAATTGTGGTTCCTCATGAAAAAGTGAAAACTAAACATACAGGTATCAATAATTTCCTAAGTCTAAACTTTATTTCTGATCAAGTAAAAGATAGACTGTATATACCTCCACCCTCAGCTAGCTAACTGTCAAGAACCTTACCTTACAAATCAGAGAGAAAAGGAAAGTGGGATGAATTAAAGAACTAGAAGGAGGGAACAGGGCAAAATAGCAGGTGGAAGTGAGTGTACTGAAATACACAGCTAGGCATAGGTGGATATTTAACTATCTCATGTTCCAAATGAGTAAAACATTTTAAGTCAAGGAAATGATGTGATTTTTACATTGTAAAGTCTAATTTATAGAGTCACTGGGGACACATCGATCTATATCATATATCAATATTATTTTGAAATCATAATGCAATGAGAATGAGAAGGCAATTCTTCATCTTTCTGCTGTAATATGAACTTGGCTACTTCTGTTTTCTTTTAGATGTCCAGAAAGTAAATGGAGTGGATGAAACCAGCCAGGACAATCAAGAGAGACATTTGTGGCACCTTGCAATTACCAACAGCAACACATCGACTGAGAAGAATGTGAAATTAGGAAAAATATTTAATGTGAGCTCAAACCATGTTTCAAATCTGACTGTAAAGAATGGAAGTTCTTCAGGAATGAGGTCTGCAGCACTTAATGTATGGCAGAATATGTGTCCCCCTAGTGAGCCTGATAACATGCAGACTGGAAAGGAACTTGATGGCTCTCTAACTAGCAAGCCCCTTATACATGCACAGCACCACGGGTTGTATAGCAGAGCTCCAAGTACCCAACAACATTTTCAATGTTGTAGGCAAGAAGCAGCCTGCAATACAAAGGCCTTATGGACAAATAAGAGGTTTCACATTGCACATAGTCCCAGTAAATTTGCTGAGTCTGAGAAAGCATCTGGTGAGGTAGCTCCTAATGCCCAAGAGAGGACTTGGGAAAGGGAAGAAACTTTTGAATGTAATATTTGCAAAAAAACATTCTGTTCAAAGTTTAAGCTCACTAAACATAAGAAAATACATAAAGTGCAGAAGTATTATAAGTGTAGTGATTGTGAGAAAACCTTCATTAAGAAGTCATACCACAAAAAACAGGTAATACATGCAGGACTCAGATCCTACAGATGTAGACAATGTGAGAAATTTTTTCATCAGAAAAAACAGCAAAATGTATGTCAGAGAGTTCCCAGAGGGACAAAATTGTATGAAGTTTATCAATCTGAAAAAAGCTTTAATGAGAAGCCAAATCTCAGGAGGTATCAGAGAACCCGTACAGGTTATAAACCCTATGGATGTCATATGTGTGGGAAATCATTTTACCGGAAGTCACACCTCAACAGGCACCAGAGAATTCACACAGGTGAGAAACCCTATGGATGTAAAGAATGTAAGAAAACTTTCTACCATAAGTCATCCCTCACTATCCATCAGAGAACTCACACAGGTGAGAAGCCCTATGAATGTAAAAAATGTAGGAAAACTTTCTACTGTAAGTCAGACCTCAATGTACATCACAGAACTCACACAGGTGAGAAACCGTATGAGTGTGACGAATGTAGAAAAACTTTCTACTCTAAGTCACACCTCATTATACATCAGAAAATTCACACAGGTGACAAACCATATGAATGTGAAGCATGCCAGAAAACATTCAATCGGAAGTCAAACCTCACTGTACATCAGAAAACACACACGGGTGAGAAACCGTATGAATGTAACATATGTGGAAAGACTTTTCACCGTAAGTCACACCTCAGCATGCATCAGAAAACTCACACTGGTGAGAAACCCTATGAATGTAAAGAATGTGGGAAAGCTTTCTATCAGAAGTCGAGTCTCAGCAGGCATGAGAGGAATCACACAGGAAACAGACCATATGCATGTGAAGAATGCAGGAAAACATTCCTGCATAAGTCATCTCTCACTGTCCATCAAAGAAGCCACACAGGTTATAAACCATACTCATGCGAAGAATGTAGGAAAACATTCTACAGTAAGTCACACCTCACTGTACACCAGAGAACACACACAGGTGAGAAGCCCTACGAATGTCCGGTATGTGCAAAGGCTTTTCACCAGAAATCCTACCTGAACAGGCATCAGGTAACTCATGAAAGTGAGAAACGATTTGAGTGTGAGGAATGTAGGAAAACATTCTATCATAAGTCATCCCTCACTGTGCATCAGAAAATTCACCTGAGGGCAGGCCTGTGAGTAGAGCGTGGGAAGCGCTCCTTGCAGAAGCTATCAGCAGGTGTCAGACAAGTCACACATAGGTGATACTCTTAAAAATGTCATGAATGAGGACACTGTTTTCCTGAGAAGGCCACTTAGCAGGCATTGCATTTATACAGAAAATTCTGTGTAGCACAAGTAGGCTGTCTTCTTTGGAACAGTCTCCATTAGGTAGTCCATCTTACCGTGTAGCAGCCCTACAGAAAATGTGCATATATTTGATAATCATTGTTTCCACCAGGCCCCCAGAAACTTTTTTTTTCTCCCTGAGTTTTCATGAGCTCTGGGCCTGAAGTGAACGTGACCTGCAAAATGGCCTTGACACCCATTGTCAGAAAGTCACCAATTTAAGAGAAATATAACTGATTGAAGAGAGCAGGGATGCTCACATTTTTATCCCCAAATACTGTTTTTAGTTTACTTGAGGAATACTTTCTCAAACCATTGTGCATGATGTTTTGATAAAAATGCAAACCCCCCATAAGTGATTCACCTAATGAAATGTTTGAGAAAACTTACATGCTCTCTCATATTTCAAAATTTGTACTGCATAGTAAATTGAGAATACTTTTTATCAGAGAAGTTTCCTTGAACAATTTGAATAAATTAAATATTGCTAATGTGTGAAATTTTGAGCAAAATTTAAATATCAGAAGTTTGTAATTGAAGAAAAACTACCAGTCTTTGTAATTCTAATACTTTCAAATGAAGGCATACATGTGCCAATAAATAATATGAGTGATATTATTGTCTGTCAGAGTACATTGTGTGTGGGAACAATTGTGGTTGTTATAACTGGAGGTTGGGAGTTGGTACTGGCACAAAGTAGATAGGGGCCAGACATGCTTTTTAAACAGCCTGAATTGCATAAAGCATTCCCTTATTAACATATATATTGGTGTTTTATATTAATGAAAATTCCTTTGGTGGAACCTGGGTTAATGATAGAAAATGTGCTTGCTTTGTATTTGTTTTTCTTTGTTAAATAGTGGCTGAGGTACAAGTGTACCCCAGTGGTAAAGTGTGTGTAACATTTGTGAGATTCTGGTTTTAGCCCCACATACATGCATAAATTAAAAATTTCAAATCAAATACTATTCTAGCTCATGTAGCTATTTTCTCAAATATTGTACACTTTCTCCTAGTGTAAATAAGTATGTGTGAACATTTCTATTTAATTATCCCTTAAGTAAGCAAGTTTTTTGTAGCTTATGAAGCTAATATAAAGCCTGCCAACTGATGTAATAGAATTATTTATTAACCATATAGAAATGAACAAATGAACTCCCCAGATTGTTCACAGCTGACACCTAAATTAAAGAGCTGTGAACAATAGTTCTCATTTCAGCTTCGGTGCTAAGTTGGTAATCAACAATTCATTGTCCATTTATTTGTGCCCTCTCCTCGATTTTCTACACTCCTTTCCCAATATAAAATCACTGACAGAAGTGACTGCTATTGTAGGTTTCTTGAAGATTCCTGTAAGTTGCCTAATTCTCATTGAGCTGGAAGGCATACTGAACATTGCTGTTTCACCAACAGCACAAGTTGTTTGTTAATATACGTTTTGCTGTAGCTCTAAAGATGTTTTTGCCCCACACTTAACTGCCTTGAATAAAATATTTATCTATAATTGATAAACTGTTTTTCCTTATAAATCTGTAAGTCTTGGTATCTGAAACTTGTATTTTAAGATAAGCATTTTTGAAATGATGATAGGAAACTGTCCTAATTAGCTATTAGCTTCTTTGGTACTGTGATAAAATACTGCCCAAAAGCAACTTGGAGAGGAAAGGTTTTATTTGACTTACACTTCCATGTCACAGTCTATGACTAAGGAAGTTGGGGCAGTAATTGAAACAGACCATGAAGGATTGCTGCTTATTGGCTTACTCTCCATGGCTTGCTCAGTTTGCTAAGGTATGATGGAAGCTGGTGGTATGGAGGGTGGCTGTCCAACAGTAACATCTTTTTTTTTTTGGACAGGATTTCTCTATGTAGTCTTGGCTGTTCTGAAACTCTGTAGACCATGATGGCCTCAAACTCAGAGATCCACCTGCCTCTGTCTTCCATGAGCTGGGATGAAAGGTGTGCACCACCATTGCCTGGCTACTAGTAGCATTCTTAGAGATTGAACTCTCCATAATTAAAATTAATAAAATCTTGCTTTGCTAACATTAATACTGATAAGATGAGGATAGTTGCTGTAGAGATGATGTCCTGATGCTCCATTAGCACTACCAGGTCACACATGACTCGCTGGCCCATCTCTGTAGGGGTGACATTCTCTGTGTATTTGGAATAGTTATCCAGATGCAACTTCCAAAAAAGATGTGAATGCAACTTTGACCCAGTTCAGTGGTCACTGTGTCCCTGTCATTTTCTCACTCTGTTCAAGATTCACTTTCCTAGGCAGCTGGCATCTTATGTGCATTGATGCTGGTTCTCCAACTCAATTTCAAAATGACTAAAAAGATGGGTTCTGATAATAGTTTTCTGTGAATTTACAGCAAACAGCCCACACCTAAACCTAGTTTGTCAGGGTGCCTTGCCCTACTCTAAAGAGGAGGAGACCTCACCTGGGTCAGGCCCAACCCTTGCAAAACATAGTAAGTGTGACTGAGTTCATTCACACAACTTTATTCTCACAACTGAAGTTGCTAATTGCAAACTCTTGATCTATAACAGCCCAACAGGAACCAAGTACCCCCATGCCTTTCAAAAACTTTGTGAAACAGAAAGCAAAATGTCTCCATATTTCTTGCATAAATAGGATTGCCTTTTATTTTGTTAACACTGAAATTTCAAAAGCTTCTAGATAGCATATAGACATGTAGAATTGTTGGCGGAAAGCAGTTCAAATTCACCCAGTATTTAGAGAACTAAGGTAACACATAACCAGCTTAGAAGAGTTACCTATAGTGGTACATGCCTTTAATCCCAGAACTGGGGAAGCAGAGGCAGGCAGATCTCTGTGAGTTCAAGGCCAGCCTAGTCTACAAAGCTACACAGAGAAACCATGTCTCCAAAAAAAAAAAAAAAAAAAAAGAAAGAAAGAAAAGAAAAGAAAAAGTTACCTATGTTTTTTTTTCTTTTAATGCAGAAACAGTGCTCAGATTGTTGCCTCTCTCGTCCTCCCTCTCTTATTCTTCATGTCTCATCAGTCTTGAAGTTGGAAAATACTTTTTCACTATAACCCCAAAACTTCAACCTCCTCTGGCTTCCTCTAAATCATTTGATATCTTAAATATTTACTGGTCTAAATTCAGAAGGTATTTGAGATGATAGGTCCTCTGGGTTCTGATGAGTTGTACCACAGTCTCTGAGGAATCCAGTTGTCCATTCATCTTTCTGGAATCCAACCAGTCCTTGCCACTACAGACCTGAGCTCAAGTGGTTCTGATGAGAACCTGTTGAGTTTCACTTTTGCTTTGCTCTTGCTTTATGATTGTAGTTGAGATGTGATCTCTCAGGCTTCCTGGTCCTCCTGCCAAGCCTACCCAAAATGGTGGACTCTTATTCCTCTGGAATTGTCACTTCAGGTCATGGTATTTCATCACAGCAACAGAAAAATAACAAATACATAAGTTGGTAGCAGGAGTGGTGTATTGCTGGAGGACCTCAATGTTGCAGAATATTCCTTTACACTGTGTAAAGATGTGTCACTGTGATTGGTTTAAGAAAGAGCTTAATGGCTAATAGCTAGGGAGGAAGAGGTTAGGTGGGACCTCTAGGGACAGAGAAGACTCAGAGAAGAAGAAAAGTTGGGTTGCCAGCCAGACACAGAGAAAGCAGCATGAGCAGTATGGAGAGATGAAGTAACAAGCCATAGTAAGTCTCTGTATCATTATTTGGGAGCTGGTAGTACAGAGTAAGACTTGCTACATCTGAACTTGTTGCTTTTTGGAAGAATGTAGAAGGCCTTGAAATTTCAGACTAGAAAATGTTGGTTGCTATAAGCAGAGCTTAAAGAGCCATTCTAGTAAGAGTTTGGGATACAGTAATGATGAGAACAATGCAGAATGTGGAGACTCAAGTTTCAGAAGGGAACAATATTAGAAATGAGCCTAGAGGACATTCATGAGATATTTTGGTAGAGAGTGGCCTTCTGAGGAAGGGCTGAGGACTTGCTTGAAGGCAAATCAAAAAGTAATGGTCTAATTTCTTTGGTTGAAATTGTGCCATTGTTGTTACTGGTAATGTTTATGCAGTTCTACAGTGCTTGTGCTAGAAGACAGGCTATAAATGTTGAAGATTAGCACCCTTAATGAGACTTTATCTGCGCTAGAACAAAGGGAAGGGTTCCTCCAGAGCAACATCCCACCCAATAAGCTCTCACCTTTTGAAAGGAAGAGGTGTAGGAGTTTTATGCTCCCAGAAAGCAACTGAATACAGAAGCTGATGCTAATGTGGTTCAAGGGGGGAGAGGGGCAGAGTCCATTCTAAGATGACAGTGGAACTTGGCACTGTCATCCACATGGTGGATTAGGATGGAATGAAGGATGCAGGAGTGAAGGGGTTATGGATTCTTCCTCTGTGGTTTCAGAGGGCCACTGAGGCCACACAGCATGTAGTCCTTGAGTGAAGGTTCTGAGAAGTAAAGAGGCCCTGAGAGGCCATTGTGTGAAGCTGTGGAAATGAATCTGGGTTTTGGTAGAAACCCCAAGATGTTGGAGATGCCAGAGCCATGGGATTATCTACCTAGGAGCCATATATATACAGGGAGTGGCACCAGTCTAAGAGAAGGATGTACATGTTGCAGGCAGCAAAGCTGAGAAGGCAGAGCCATCCCAGCCTTTGGAATCTGAAAATACCAGACAATGAACTATAGTATTTGGAGTTTCCCTTGCTGGGTTTCAGTCTTGTTTTGGCCCAGTATTTCTTCACTATGGCCCTATTACTTTCTTTTGGAGTGGCAATGTATATTCTGCACCATTGTATGTTGTATGTAATTTGCCTTTTGATTTTATAAGGAGTTACCATTTTTAAAAGTTTCAGAAGTCTCCGAGGAGACTTTGAAACAGTGTTAAAACAGTGGGGATTTTGGCGTTAGACTAAACACATTTTGCATTATGATATGACTATGAGCCTATGGGAACTGCGGTTTGAATAAGATGTCCCTGTATATTCAGGCATTGGTCTCCAATTGGTAGCACTGTTTGGGGAAGTTTAGAATGTGTGACCTTTCTGGAAGATGTCACTAGGGGCAGGTTTTGAGATTTCATAGCCTCATCCCACTTGTGACTCACTCTGTCTGCTTAGTATTTGATGAGATGTGATCTCTCAGCTTGCCACTCCTGCTGCCGTACCTCCCTGCCATGATGAACTTACCCCTCTGGAGTCCTAAGTCAAAATAAGCTCTTCCATCAATCACTTTTGGTTGTGGTATCTTATTTTTGTCATAGCTACAAAAAGTCATCAGTGCACATGTGATATGATCTTTCACTGAGCCTTGGGCTCACTGATTGAACAAAAATAGCTGCTTAATAATCTCTGGTAATCCTCCTCTCAGCCACCTCAGCAATAGGATTACAGGAAGGCACCATGACCATCGCTGGGATCTCACAAGGTGAGGACCTAACCATGTAACGACAGCACTTTGCTGAATGAGTCATCTCTCCATCCCACCCCATGAGTTTCTTGTATCTGTGCTCCCTTACCCACTGTCTTAAGTCATTCAGGTTTTATGTGCAACAAATTGCATCTGTAAAGTACTGGTTTATTTTCCACCTTGGAGAGGCAGAAATCACACACACACACACACACACACACACACACACACACACTTCTTTTGTTCCTGTTCTCTGAAATGAAAATGTATTCATGATCTCAAGTTGCTTATTTGCCAATAGAAACCTGTTTTCCATTTGTGTCCCAAGTCCTTCAAAAAAGCGTTTCCTCATTGGCTATTTATTGCCCTTCACATCATTCACTCTGGCTGGAAAGCTTTGTATCATGACAATTATAGGAACCACATTTGGAGGAACAAAGTTATCAATCAGAAATTATGACTAAAAAGATCAGTGTGTAACTTCCTCCATGTCTTCTAGAACTATTCTAAGAGGTGTTATGGAACTCCTACCCCACCCCATCCCAGTATGCTAATAGATAGAGATAGGTCATATGCTTAGCTTTAAAAAAAATTGGAAGATTGATCTCATCTAATTACAATAAGTAAAATTGAGATAAATCTCTGAATAGCATCCAGAAGAGACATCAAAGCCAAATCACACATTGGCAAAGTGTAAGATGGTGTTGTGTGCTCAAAACATTCTGTTGCAGCCTCCTACCAAATTATTAATATGTACTTATAAACTGTAACTCTCATTACTGTGTTGAGATGATATACTGTTTACTAATTCTAAGTAGCACTGGCATAATCTACTTTAGTCAAACCGAGCCCTGAAACAGGTTGTATTCTTTCAAAGCAAACACACACATTGCTCCATGTACAGCATATACTCAGATCCACATTGGTGCCCAATTTTAAGGCATGAGAAAGAGTAATGAAAAGGAACTTATTCCAAGATTATTTCTCTCAGAGGAGGGAAACAAGTATCAGTTTTTCACAAAGGTCTAAATCAATTCACAAGATAGCAGTGAAAAATATCTTTATTCATGTTTTTCTACCCTGATACTTATTCTCTTAGAAACACTGGCTCACTTTAGGACATCACCATGTTAGAAAAACACAAACATCAATACTTGGCAGATAGTTGGTGACAAACACCATATACACTTATATGTTAAAAGATTAGGAAAATACAAACTAGAAGCTTATAAGATGTAAATAGGCTAGGATAATATTTAAGGTAGACAATCCTAATGTAAAATCACAATTAAGATTACAATAAGTGTATTTCCTGCATGTCCTGCATACAGAGAACATCTGCTAATGTGATAAAATCATATGCACAAACCTTACGTATATCAGGATATGTTGTGCCTGATGTGTACCAGTACCTTCTGAATTAAAACATTCCCATCCTGGAGGAAGGCTCATTAAGACTAGGATATAAACCCCTAAGTCTCACGAAGCCCCAAAATGTGTAAGATGCACAAGGCCCATTCCTTTTCCAAGTTTATAAAAACAGGACGGGCTGCTGGGAAGGGAGGAGACTCTCTGACCTGATAGATATGTGGCCTACTTTGTTTCCTGAAAGCGTTTCAGTTTTCACAAGTCATCCCCATGCTTCGGTAGGCTTTTCAGTGGTGCAGCTGTGGAATCATTCCTACTCCTGCTAGGCAACCTCTCACCCATATTCCTGTAACCTCAACAAACTCACTGGATTCACCAGACCGGAGTTTGACAGAAATGTTTATTTGAGCTGTTGTCAGTGCCCTATCTGGGCTGAGTACATATCTCTGTTCATGCCTCCTCAGGAAAATGACAACAGAGTCCTCAGGGAGCTCAGCTGCATCCCTGGTATCCATTAGTGTCAGTTGCCTCTCTGAAACTGGTTGTGACAAACACAAAGTCCTCAAATATAGATCAAACCACTGCATCAGGCACTAAATATTTATCATCTAGCATGTTCAACAGTTTTTTGTTTGTTTGTTTGTTTTTAGACAGGATCTCACTATGTAGCCCTGCTGGCCTGGAAAACTCTGTGGATCAGGCTGGCCTCAAACTCATAGATATCTGACTGCTTTCTGTCTCCTGGGTTCTGGGATTTAAGACATGCCACCACACCTAGCTCAAAAATAATTTTAATATTATAATTAACACTTCTTAGAAACTGACGATTTCATTTTATGAATGATTTCTGATATATATGAATTTCAATGTTTTATGGATACACATATGTTTCACATATGAAACATACTTTAGTATCTCTTAAATGAAATGGTGGTGCCAGGTAAGGCATTTCAAATTTATTGAAATTTCATGTTTCTTTTTCTCCACAAAATGGCTTGAACATACAAAGGTGACAAGAAGGACCCTCTCCTGGGTGAACTTTCTAACATGAAAGATCCCCTGTCTGAAATACTTTTTAAATGGGTTTTGATGATTTTGCATTATGTTGCAAAAAGGTTACATCACTTATACAGAGACTTACAAACACATATAAAGCCTCTGCTCTTACCAATAAAGCATGTCTATAAATCACTGTCATTCTCTATCCCACCTTCTCTCCAAAGACAAGTGTATCTGCTTTCAGGCCATGAGCACAAATCCAGGGATAATGCATTGCAGGAACTGGGGGTTGAGGCAGGAAACAAAAGAGCCACAACCAATGTTAAAGTTGCTACAGAGCTCTGGCCATGTTTTCTCCATAACACTACACATATAGGCTGCCAATCTTAGAGCAAAAAAAAAAAAAAAAAAAAAAAAAAAAAAAAGGTAAATCTTAGCACATGAGACCTTTGCTTACAGGACTTCTCACAAGGACATTTTCCATATCCATAACCATTCTAAATATGCTTTCCCACATGTTAACAGCATTCCCTCTCTGATGACTTCTCCGATGTGGAGGTCAACTTCCCATAAAAGGGTTGGCCACATACATTACATTCATGTACTTCCAGCCCACAAGCTATCCAGAGTGTTTCCATTTGGTAAAAGTCTTGTCCATATATATCACAGTCTTGTGGTTCCTCGGTAGTGATGGGTATCCTGATGCACACAAATGTCTGTTATACTTACCTGGTGGGAGCATGGTTACCTATGTCAGTTCCTGCACATACCCCAAGAATAAGAGATATTTTCTACATTCTTTAAATTCACAGGTTTTTGTTTTCTTCAATTTTTATACTCACAGGGTTTTGTGTTTGTGTGGATCTCTAGTGGAGGCAGCTGGCACATATTAAATTGATATGGCTTATCCTACCTGTCTTCTTTGGTACGCAGTGAAGGGTGACTCACATTTAGAGGGCTCCTCACCTAATGACTGCTGAGACCTGACATCCGGGGACAGGTTTCTCCACATACACTGCATTCAAACAGTTACTCAGCTGTGTGTGTTTGATGTGCAGTGAGTTATATCTGTTGTTGAGATCTCCTCCCCTTTCCATTTTCAAGTACTCCAGTGTACATTTGTTAGAAATGTTTCCCAGTTCTGACATCCAGGCTTCTCAACTGTGAGGTTTCTCTAATGTGCATATAGATTTGACATGTGGCAGGTGATCGTTCTAGAGAATGCACTGATAAGTATCTCTCAACTCTGAGTTCTGTGATTCACATGGAGAGATGACAAATGTCTGAAATGCTTTCCTATATTCTTTGTATTCACAGGCCTTCTTACCTGTGTGAACTCAAATTCAGAGATGGGACTTCTGAATAAAGGGCTTTGCACATACATAACTACACTCACAGGGTTTCTCATCAGTATGAATCCTCCAGTCTTCCAGACCTTATAGACAGAGGGTTTCTCACCTGGAAGAGTTCTCGAACAACTAGAGTCTGACATCTGGCAGAAGTCTCTGAACATACCCCACACTGGTAGGTCTCTTATGTTTTGGATTCACTAATTAATGAGATTTGACTTAGAGCTAACAGATTCCCTGCAACCTTTACTTCCACAGGAATCTTCACCCGAGGTTCAGGGAGGGATGACAAGTGACTTAAACTTTTCCTACATTTTTTATGTTCCTAGGTTTCTCACCTGTGTAAGCTCTATGATGTCTGTGGAGGTTTGTCTTCTGACAGAAGGCTTCCCCAGATTTCATGCATGAGCTTTCTCACCCAAGTGAGTTTTTTGATGTATAGTGAGATATGACTTGACACTAAATGATTTCCTACATTCTTTACATTCAAAAGGTTTCTCACCTGTGTGAATTTTCTCATGTGTAGAAAGATTTGACTTCTGGTTAAAACGTTTTCCACATACATTACATTCATATGGCTTCTCACCTGTGTGAATTCTCTGATGCACAATGAGCCCTGACTTTATACTGAAGGTTTTCCTGCATTCTTTACATTCGTAGGGCTTCTCACCTGTGTGAACTCTCTGATGGATAGTTAGGTCACACCTCCTTTTAAAGGCATTTCCACATATGTTACACTCGTAGGGTTTTTCGCCTGTGTGCGTTTTCTGATGTACACTGAGATTGGACTTCACACTGAACAGTTTCTTACACTCTTTACACTCATATGGCTTCTCACCAGTGTGAGTTCTGTAGTGTAAGTAGAGGTTTTGCGTGTGCTTAAAGGCTTTCCCACATACCTTGCACTGATAGCTTCTCCCACATCTGTGCCGTCTACGAGGCTGCTTGCTGATTTTTGCAGATGTATTGCATTCATGGGGTTTTCTACCTGTGTGAGGTCTCTGGTGCACACTGATTTTTTTCACACAATGACTCTCTTTACTTGAGAAGACACTCTGATTAACCCTCTGTTTTGGCATCTGACACACACATTTCTCATTGTCATTACACACGCAGGCCTTTTCCCATGCATGCAGATTGCTCTGGAGATTTACAAGGCCTGGTTTTGTATGGAATGCTGGCTCACAATCAGTACGTTTATCACATTTGTTCTTTATGCATGTTTTCAAATGCTGAGTATGGCTACACTTGTCAGAGAATGACTTCTTACAGAAGTTGCAATCAAAAATTTCTTCCGTTATGTGAGTTCCCTCTTGGGCACTAAGAGCCAGTTTACATTCCTTTAACTTACTGGAATTATCTCCCAGAGGAAACACCTTATGTGTCCATACAGAGTTCATGCTGAAGGCTTCGTCGTGATGACTACACTGAAAGTGCTGTTGCCCGCTTTCAACACGGTGATCCAGACTAAGAGGCTCGGGAGGTCCACATGACATCCTTGTTGTAGTAGGATCAAGTTCCTCTATAGGCTGCATCTCACTGTGCTCACTAGGGAGATACACACTTTCCCATATATCAAGCACCTCAGATCTCATTTTGGAAGAGTTCCTATTCTTAATAGCCAGGCGTAAAACATGGTTTGAACTCATATTAAATAGTTCCCCAAATTTGACCCTCTCCTCAGTTGATGAGTTGCCAGTGATTACCAGGTAGTTCAAATATCTCTTTTGATTGTCCCAACTGGTGTCGTTCAGGCTCTTTCCATTCTCCATAGCTGAAAGGAAATAAAAGTAGCCCTACATGAACAACACAGAAATCATTCTGGTAGAATCCTAACACAAAAGTGAAGAAGCTCCCCCCAGCACTCCTCCTTCCCTGCCCCATGATGCAATATTACAAAATGGGGCCTGGAGAGATGGCTCAGAGGCTGGGGGCACTGGCTGCTCTTGCAGAGCTTCCACTGGGATAAAATTTCATAGCAAATGCTGCACAAATCTGTTGACTTAGAGTGAGTTCCACAATGAAAAAGGTCGAGGGCTAACTATACATTATAATTTCCTCATCAAATAGGAGCCTTTCAACAGGGTCTTGGCTCATCTGGCCTCCATGCCTAGGATCCCCTGGATGGCATGCCACATCCTGGGGCTACCCTTCCAGAACTCTTTGCACATGCTCCTTGAATTACATAAAATCTGGTATCTTGGAATGCACTCTTTGATTTTGGACATCTTGTCTCATATTTGAATTCTACAAGTGAATACCTGAAACCTATGTTTTCAATATTAACTTAGAACTAATGCCACTTTGGAACCTGTAGTTAAATCATGACTGCTCTGCAGACTAAAAGTTCCTATCAACTTATGAACTATGTGCCAAATTTGGAAGTCTCAGAATTAGTCTGATATTAATTTTAAAATAATCTCCTTAAATCTGCTTTGCCTTCGAAACATCCTGTATTTTTTCATTCATTTGTCCAGCTAAGAAAACATATTCTTGTGGTTTTTCTTTCAGTGCCAAAGATTTCTGTGTATCAACATAGCAGAAGCTCTTTAAACAAGGCAAATCTGATGGGTCACCACTGTTGGTCCCAATTAGTAGACCACCGTCTGTGAGGAATCAAATAAAAAGTGATGAATGCATTAATAACCCCATGAATAGATGCTTAAAATGAAGCATCATCTAAAAATAGGAGGAAAAGGACAATGGGATGTAGAGTAGCTACTTAATGAAATGTTTAAGCAGAGTGAGCAGGATTTGCTGGGCCTCCACAAATACAGAGCAAAGGGGCTGGAGAGATGGCTCAGAGGTTAAGAGCACTGGGTGCTCTTCCAAACGTCCTCAGTTCAATTCCCAGCAACCACATGGTGGCTCACAACCATCTGTAATGAGATCTGGTGCCCTCTTCTGGCTTGCAGGCATACATGCAGGCCAAACACTGTACACATAATAAATAAATAAATCTTAAAAAAAAATATAGAGCAAAAACAGGAAAGGAGGGTCCACTTGGGAGTGAGGCCTCCCTTGGACACAACACAGCAAAGAGCTGATTAAGAAATTAGTCTCAAGATGGAAGATGGCAAAATTGAATGAAAAGAACTTCATACAACTCCTGTCTGATGAGTGTTCACTAGTCTTGGGTGCATTCACTGACCTGGGAGCCTTTGGTTTGGGGCATCTTCTTCCTTCCATGGCCCAGCTCCTTGCTCCAACTTCAGGATCAACTCAGGTTTGGCATCACACTGGTCTATTAAAAGGAAATATTGTGTAAGTTGTACCTCAATGAAAAAATATTGGCATCAGACTCTCAACAACAATAGTACCAATATGTACACTCTAGGACATTAAATAAAAGAAATATATACGGAATAAAAGGATTATTCTGACTGACCACCTGGATCAAGGAAAAAAAACAGCAAGTAAAAAATTTAAAAATGCATTGAATCAACAAAAATCTAAAGCTCCTCAGCCAGATGCTGCAGGAATGGCAAGATCAGATGATGTTCAGAAGCAGTGAGCTCTGAACCCCTCTCCTCCTATGCCCCTCCAAAAACAACACAAGAAGCAGAGGAAAGCAGGAGATAAGGAGAAAAACAATGTATAAGAATTTAATACAAACAAAACAGCAATGGAGCAACAATAGTAAGAGTTAATTTTTAAAGATGAAATCATCTTTTGATATCTTGCATTCAATTCCAGTCTCTGCTACTCTATTCTTGGTATCAGCAGATCAGCTTACTCCACTAGAGTCAGGTAAGAAGAGCTGACTGGAGAGGTCTTTTTTTGGAACACCCGGAACACAGCACAGAAGGGCATCTCCTAGTCAGCTCTCTAAGTGAGAGGAACAGTCCATATCTATAGCCAGAGAGGGGGCTTTGTACACAAACAGGAAGCCACACAGTAAGTGGGGATTGTCTGCACCAGTCAGAGCATCATCTCCTTTACATCAGCCACAACCATCTCTCTGTCAGGCTACAAGGGACACATTCCCTCCTGACCCCTACGAGGAGATGTCTGTAGAGTCACCCAGAATTCACCAAAACCGGAGAGAGTCAAAGTCAGTTAGAAACTTTGAAACTGTGCTGGAGTGAGAGCAAACAGCTGTAGTTTCCTCAAAATGTCCTGGGACTGTTAAAGCAGCTGGTACTGCCCTAAGAGGAGTTAGATGATATCAGCTGGGATTCCTTTTGCTCAAGGCAACAGGGCAGCAAGTCAGCCAAACTACCCGATTCTCAAAGTCTTTGCTTCTTTAAAAGACATTCAAAGCAGTGCTCACAGTAACTTAAAGAACTTATCATTAATATAAACAGCGCTTACAAAGAGCCCACGGTGCTTAACACCTGCCCAGGACTACAAGGAAAGTTCAATTCACCACATCTGAGTTACTACTACACTAGTGATTCACATGTACAAGGTAATCAATACCAAGGACACTCTGGAAGTTATAAGTTTTTATTAAAGGAATAAAAAGCTGGTTGTGGTGGCACACGCCTTTAATCCCAGCACTTGGGAGGCAGAAGCAGGTGGATATCTGGGTTCAAGGCTGGCCTGATCTACAAAGCAAGTTCCAGGACAGCCAAGGCTACACAGAGAGGCCTTGTTTCTAAAAAAAAAAAAAAAAGCAAGCAAACAAACAAAAAGAATAAAATAGACAACAAAAAAACCCTAGCCTCAAAACATACTCAGAAGAGACAGTTACTAAACAGCTTGCACAGGCAGGAAGAAAAGCACAGAGAATAGAACAAGGTAACAGAAAAGCTAAAAGCAAATGTACAGGTTCATAGCCAAGCAGTCCTCACATAAGGCAACAGGAACAACTGTTTAGAAGGAAGATCTCAATGTCGGTGAAGCTGGATAACCTTGTGATGGAGAAAGGTGTTAACCTTGCCTTGTAACATACCCGGAAGTTAAAACTGGGATTTCAATGTAGACTCTGAAGTTACAAAACAAATACTAGAAAACACAGGGAAAACACAAAAGGATACAAATCTAGGCAAAAATGAACTTTTAAAATCTGACACCAAAAGCACAGTTGACAAAAGCAGCACTGAAAACCAGAATTATTGGGGCCAGAGAGATGGCTCAGCGGGTTAAAAGCACTTACTGAGCTTGCAGAAGAGCTAAGTTCAGTTCCCAGCACCCATGTAAGGAGGCTCACAATTGCCTGTGCCTCCAGCCGCAGGGGAGAAGCCCTCTTCTGGCCTCCACAGCTCCTGCATTCACATGCACAAACCCAGACACATACAAGAAAAAAATTAAAACAAAAACAGGATTATATAAAATTTTAAATCTTTAGTTCTGAAAAGCTAACAAATGAGAGAGTTAAAAGAAAACATACAGAAAGAGAAAATATTTACAAATTATTGTCTGATGATGGACTGCCTCACACAATTTATACAATGCACTGGCATAAAAGTGAGCAATCTGGCTGGGTGTTGGTGGCACATGCCTTTAATCCCAGAACTTGGGAGGCAGAAGCAGGCGGAGCTCTGTGAGTTCGAGGCCAGCCTGGTCTCCAGAGCGAGTGCCAGGATAGGCTCCAAAGCTACACAGAGAAACCCTGTCTCGAAAAACCAAAAAAAAAAAAAAAAAAAAGTGAGTAATCTGATAGAAATCTGGGCAGACAACAGGTATTTCTCCAAAGACACAAGGATGTGAATATCACAGAAATGCAAATCAAACAACAACAGGATCTCACTGCACAACAACTACAACGATTAGCAACATAAGAGAGGACACCCAGAAAAGGAAAAGTCTGTGTTGCTAGAAACATAATTAACAGACACTACGGAAAAAAAACATGGTGCTTACTAAAATCCTGGAAAGTGAACTGCCACAAAACACAATACAACCCTAGAATGCACACATCCAGAGGAAATCCACCTGGGTTTTTCCAAGAGAACTCTCTGTGCACACAGTTACTGCAGCTTCATATACAGGAGGGATGATATGGGATCTACTTTAGTGTCCACCTCAGATGAACTGATAAGAAAAGGCACTAAATACAGAAGGGATGATGACCTCATCCAGCAATGGACACAGCCCTGCATTTCTCTCATGGGACAATGGATGTAACTGAAAGATACTTGCATTAAGAGAGGGAGATCAAGCTAAAAGAAACATTGCATATTCACATTTATGGCGGGAAGCTAATGTTAACCTGAAACACAAAGAAAGAACATTGGTCACCAGAGCTTAGGAATGGTGTGTGGGAAGGAGGGAAGGCGAGAAGATGGTTCATAGATGCAGGGGAACAGCTGGATGGGACACACAACTCCCTCTGCTCTATAGCACACACAAGCTAAACACAGTTGGCAACAATTTCTTGAAAGTAAGAGGGAGGGCTTAGTGGTTTGAGAAATGGCTCAGTGGGTAAGAGCACTTGCTTTTCTTGCAGAGGACTTGGATTTGGTTCCCATCACCCACATAGCAGTTCACAACTATCCATAATTCCAGTTCCAGAGGATCCAGCATCATCTTCTGATCTCACTGGGCACTAGGCATACACCAATGCAATCATACAAAATATTCATATACATTAAATAAATAGAAAGCAAACAAGAAGGAGGGTTTTAAATGCTCTCAATAGAAAGACATGACAAATCTAAGTTTATAGACTTCTAAAATACTGATCATTATGTAGAGTATACAAATATTGAAATGACAACTTTTAATATAAATATGTAGTTACTGTATAGAAAACTAGGTGGTAGGGCATTTGCCTACCATATGCAAGGCTCTAGATTTGGCCACTAGCACAGGAAAAAAACAAAACAAAACCAACACCCACCGTCCTTTGAAGCGGTTCCTGTATTTACGGAAAAGGAATGTGCTTCTCATAGGATTATTGTAGCCTTCTACTCACTCAAGGACAGCAGGCTTCTGTAGGTCTCCAGCATCACCTCCCTGTAGAGCTTCCTCTGAGCATCATCCAGGTCCTGCCACTCATCCCAGGTGAAGTCCACACAGACATCCTCAAATGTCACCAACCCCTGTAATGAAACAACTTTCCTCAGCCCAAGCTGCCTTCAGCCTTGGGTCAGAGACAGGAATACAGGAGGTCACGCCTCTCCACAAGCATCGTTTACACAAGATAGACATACAAGTTTTCTTATCATGGAGGAAAAATCGTCTATAAAATATTTTACAAACATAGTAATTTAGTAATCATGAGAAACTAAAGGCACAAAACAAATATAAGCAATTGATAATCCTTTGGCTCCCCCACTTAAATACCTGACTCCAACAATTACAAATCTAAGTAGTCCATGTTGTCTTTATTTATAAAGTTATTTATAAAGTACAGTCATAGGCACCCACACATGCCCTTCCAAAACTTAGAAGAACTGCTAGATCCAACAGAAATAAACATCACTAGCATCCCATAAGGCAATATATAAGCAAGGCTTGACATTTTGAAAGTCATCCCATGAGAGGAGAAAGGGGAGGGTCTTAGGGCACAGCCAGAGGGGAAGAATCACTTCACAATTTCCACATTGGAAAACAGCACTAGGAATACAGAACTGAAGACATGCAATGTGGTAAGTCCCACAGATCCCACTCCTGTGGAAGGCTGAGGCAGGGGGACCAAGAGTTGGAGGATAGGCAGACAAAAGAGGTAGCAAGGAATTGGGAACTCATCAGAGAAGGAACACAAAGCAGCAACAGCAAATAAAGAATAGCATTTTCATTAATTTCCTTTGTCTTTGATAAAAAGACCAGCTTGTTTCCAAGCTTTCTATATAAACCAATATATAGGAACTGATGTGTTACCTATATGACATGAAAGAAGGGGGACAATTTGTGAGAAGGAAGCAATAGATTTTTTTGGGCTTTTCACTTAAACACATGCCCAACTCGAAAAATGTCATTCATAATATACTTACACAATAGTTTTCATAGGCAGTCTTATATGCTCTTCCTAAAACCAGAAGAGTTTCTAGTATCCACAAAGAAATACATCACCAGTGTCCTATAAAGAAGGGTAAACTGACCAGGTGTGGTGATGCACACCTTTAATCCAAGCACCTTAGAGGCAGAAACAGGAGGATCTCTGAGTTTGAGGCAAGTCTGTTCTATATAGGGATAAACGACAATCACTATGATGGTCAGAGTTACAACTGATCTTAGACATACTTGTCTGAAGTTTTTCCCATCAAATGCACAGATGCCTAACAGGCAATTGGACAAACAAGATCTTACAACACATTTTTACATGGAACATGAAGAATTAGAAATTTCAGTGGTAAGCTAACTTCACCACACTGAGTGAAATGGCTTAAAAGCAACTTAGGACACTAAACAAAAAATCAGAAATACATTAATATTCAGTGCCTGAGAAAAAGATGCAGATGTTGAGAACTGCAGCCCACTGTCCTCTGACTGATTTATTCTGGGAAGACAGGAAATCTCAATATTAGATAATTTATTAATATACTCCAAGTAGGCATATGCTAATTTTCTATTCCTGACATACTGCTGGAAGTGTTATCAGATCTGAGAATCTTCTGGTAGAGTCCTCAGGGTAACAGGTAAAAAGATCACACCACTTGCAAATGAGGAGATTCGATTTCTGCCTTTTCTATTAGTATCTCTTGCATTTCCTTCTCTTGCCCTGGCCAAGACTTTAAGCACTCTACAGTTTGAATAGCCTTGTCTTGTTAATGATTTTAAAGGAAATGCTTCAGCATTTCACATTTAGCATATATAATAGTGGCTAGGAGTTTGTCAAAATATAGGCATAGGCAAAATTGTCCAAAAAAGACTTCAAAAGCTCAGGAATCTATTACAAGAACTGACAAATCAGACAGAAGGTGTTAAAAATATTTTGCACAGCAAAGAAAGCAGCAGAAAGACTATAGAACGGGACAAAATCTTTGTCAGCTACATATCTAACAGTGAATTAGCATATATAGTACATAAAGAACTCAAAAAAAGTAAATACCAAAGTCACAAATAACCCAACTGATAAATTGGCAGAAACAGGTATTCTTCAAATTAGGATGTATATATGCCCAATAAGTAGATGAAAAACTGTGCAGTGTCATCAACTACCAAGAAAATGCAAATAAAAGCTATACTGGCATCCCAATCTCACCCATTACAACAGTTATCAATTAAAAACAAGTGTTGCTGAAGATGTAAGGAAACAGGAATTTTTATATATCACTTATACATCTTATACACCTAAAATAATGCAGCCACTTTAGAAATCAATATGAAAGTTCCTCAAAATACTAAAAATAAAACTACCATGTGATTCAGATATTCCACTCCTGGAAATGTACTCAAAGGAATCTGAGCCAGTCTCTTACAGATACGCCTGATCATCCATTTTTATTGTGGCAATATTCACTTTAGCCAAAAATGGAACCTAAATGTCCATCAACAGCTGCGGAAAATGTGAAAATATATACAATGGAATTTTATTAAGCCATCAAGAATGAAATTATGACATCAGTTAGGAAAATGGATGGACCTAGAGGTAATTATTAAGTTGAAGTAAGCCAGAATCAGAAAGACCGTCACTTGATTTTCTGTGGAATCTAGATTAACTGCATACCATATATACATATCCAGATGCACTGAGTGAGGAGAACCTAATGGGAAGTGAAAGGGAATCAAAGAGGAATAATGGCATAAAGGTGACATTAGACAAGGGGATCATTTGAGGGGTAAGGAGAGCAGCAAGGAGGTGGGGACAGGAGAGACAAAGGTAGTTCAAGTGGTAAAACAAGGACAAAGTATAATGCATGGGCACAGAGGCGATACATACATGAATATGTAATTTCAAAGCTAGAGTCAGGGGGCAGCTATTCAGCCACCCATCCAGCCATAGAGTAAGAGTGAAAGTAAGATAAAAGCCCAGAGGCAAAAGGTAGATGGGATAATTTAAGTTAAGAAAAGCTGCCAAGAAAGAAGCCAAGCTAAGGTCAGGCATTCATAACTAAGAATAAGCCTCCATGTGTGATCTATTTGGGAGTCAAAAGTCATAGGAGTCAAAAGAGTAAAATAAAACCACTACAGAATACAATTTCAATCTTATCTAACTTAAGGAGCAAAGACCATCTCAAGGGACAGTAATATAACACCTTGACTGGACAGATGTCTCAGTGCATAAAGAACTTGTCATGCGAATGGGAGGACCTTAGTTCAAATCCCCAGAAAAAAGTAAAACTGGCATGGAGGCATATGTCTGCAACCTCCATGTGCCTACAATAAGATGTGAAGCCACATCAGGAGAATCTCACAGGCTAGTTAGTTGCCATACATATAATGGCAAAAAACAAAGAGACCCTGTAGACCCTGGTCTTCTGTTGACTATAGTGACTCTTTTCCTAGGCATAAACTGTAACCACGAGCACATGCCATCTCTGAATTCTCCAATTTTTTTTCTAGGTATTATGACACCTATAGATGAGCTGGGGAACCTCAAAAGAAGTTGGTAATGACCAACAATTTTCTTGGGGAAAACTGAACATTTAAAATCAGGAAACGCGGGGCGTTGGTGGTGCATGCCTTTAATCCCAGCACTCGGGAGGCAGAGGCAGG